GGTTGAAGTGTGGTACGCCATAATCCTTCATGGTACGCGAGTGTCGACATAATTTTTTTCAAGTATATATCTATTAGCGATGAAGAGTTTTTCCAGAGAAGAAAAGATTGAGATTCGGAAATCATTTTCCTCGCTGTAGATTCTCCAATGATTGTTCGCCATCCCAATGAAGTCAACGACTACTTGAATGACCTTGACAAGGAACGACAGCCGATGGAAAAGGAGGTTTTTTTCACATGGGAACGGGCCTATACACGTTTGCCATGGTAGATTATATTAGCCACAAAGTGAATGCTCACCAACTACACATAGAACGAACTGTTTGTTACGAACAAACTAGCCCCGCAGATGTACCTTATCGATCGATAACGGGACATCTCAAAAAGTGTCACGCGCCACGAAATTGCTTTTGTGTCATCACCGTCACTAGCGTGGGCTTCTTATGCGCGTTGTATGCATGATTGTATTTCGTGGAGCGGGTATCACTTCGTTGTGGAGTATCTTAAGGTTGAGCGCGCAGGATACAAATTAGGTTGCAATGAATGCAATCGATCTGTACTCCAACTCAGCGTTTCTACTTGTCCCTCCAAGGTTCATCTGATGTCTTCTCCCATCAACTCCACCATAATCCAGAAGCTCGATTCGCTCGACAGTGAGTACGCAGCCATTCGCCGTCAGCAGGAGATCGAGACCCGTGCTCTGGAGAAGACTTACGAGGCCAAATACCAGCCTCTCTTCTCGGAAAGGTCTAAGGTCATCGCCGAGGGTGGCGTTCCCGAGTTCTGGCTCACTGTGTTGAAGAACACTGCCAATTTTGGGCCTGAGATTGACGATCATGATAAGGAGGCTTTACAGTATTTGGTTGACATACAGGCTGAGGAGATCCCTGGTGAGAAGGAAGAGGATTTGATCGCCGGATTGAAGATTACTTTCGTGTTCAACGAGAACCCTTTTTTCGAGAACAAGTCCTTGTCGAAGACCTACCACTTCAGCGAGGTTAATGATATGCTCCGTCATGAGATCAAGTGCATTGATAGCGACACTGTGGCATGGAA